CGTAAATGATTCCTGTAAACGTGATGCGGTCCATCTGTGCGTAAATAACGAGTGTTCCCAAGAAATGTAATAATGCCATGTAAGGCGATGCACTCCCTCGCCTCTCTGATCGGCTTTGAAGACGAAGAACAAAAACTTGGATGGAGGTCTGAGAGCTGAGCAGCAAAATTACAGGAACAGTTAAAAGCCAAGCAGTGGAAATAAATAAGAAGAGCTGTAAATGTTACAGTAGTAAAAACAATAATAATAGAAGAAGAAAAGAAGTTTGATCTGAAAACAGTCAAAGACAATTACTGATGGAGGCAAGAGGTGATGTAAATATGAGTTCAGCATCAACCCACATGACATTCTGCAAAAACTGCTTTTAAACAGACACGCCTGTACTGTACCTCTGCAGATCACGACTGTCATCCCTTCATCTCGCTCTCATGCATGAACGTATAGAACATTTCGACAGCAAAACTATAATAAGACCCAAATATTCAGCATTTAGTGTGATAACAAAGGAGCTGTGATGAAGTGAAATGAATAAAAGTCTGACTGTTGGAGGATTTTTGCTGAACTTTTCATCCATTTTCTGTTCCATGTGTTATTCTAATAGTAGCTGGATCTCTGACTGTTCTTTCTTTTGACAAAATGACTAAAAATGAAACCAGTGTGCTCTAGGTACACACATGCCAGCTGTAAATATTGACCAATAGAATAAAACTTGTATTTGTCATTGCAGGGTTGCCTAATATATAAGGATTTAGCCTAATAAAATGAACAATTGCTTCTAAGAAAAACCAATATGGTCATTTAGTGAATAACTAGGTTTGGATAACAGCTGACTGATTGTACAAGCCAGGAGAAGAACTCATAAAATGTGTTCGTACCTGAGAGAAGATTAAAATTGGAGAAAAACGATTCATGCGTTTTTTTCTCCTAAATCACTCCTATGAACGATTTAACATCTTTAAACCCTTAATTAAGTCTAAAGTGGGGGTAATAATTCAGAATGCATAAAATTCCACAGGTAAAAATTTAACCAGCAGGTGGAGCCATTGCGCGCAGCTCCAAGCTGACACTAAAAGTTCCAAACCCCACATTTCTAATATAGCTAGAGGTCTGACATGTTCTGCATTTGTGTTTGGCATGATGTAGAACAAATTTAAAACAATAAAACCTGCCTTTTCTCAAGAATGTCTTTATAACTGCTGTTCAAAAAAGACTTATCATTTCCGAGAGTAAAAACACAACTGACAAATTCTTGGACTGTGTTTTAGTCACCCAATTTAAATTAATATATTAGGAAACTAGAGGATGTTAGCTTTCAAATAATTTGTTGCACATGTAATTTGGGCTTAGAGTTCCTAAGTTATTTGCTTTTCCATTTGGGTATTAAAATAGGAGAGGATTACCCAAAACGAGGTGAGTGTTAAGAGCTACTCCTTCTATTCATTCTAGCTAATCTGAATCGTTCAATTCCATTTCTAGAGCGAGATCATCTGTGGTAGCAGCACTAGACATCTTCCAGGCATGTCAGGAAAACTAGCAGCAGTTCAGCGGACAGGAAGAACGAATGGTAGCTGGCGTCATACACACTCCGTTTTGTTTTTAAAAGGTATAAATATAAATAAT